CTAATCACTATGTCAAAATGATAATACTTTAGAGGTCAACAGAGAAACCCATGAAGAACAAGAACAGTTGGCCACAATAAAATCAGGTTCAAAAGAGATTAAAACTCATGCCAGTGTTATTGATATTTGAAACTTTGTGAACAGAGTATTCAAAACTAAATAGACATGTGACTACTTCATTACTGCTCAAACAAAATAAGAATAACATATAAAGACAAAATACTAAGTCGATATGAAGGTATACTCACGAAACATCCAAAACAAATAGTACACGTACCCTCATGCACAATTCATGCTCTATTTTTAACTGCTTGTCATTGCTCCTCTTCTGCTCTTCTCGAGATCCTCTATCTTCTTTTCCATGAATTCAATATCCTTGAGTTGCATAAAACGGGGAAGGTTCATTATTCCCTTTAACGAATAAGTCATAAATCCACAATATGGAAATATAGATCTTGATCCTGATGTAGATATCACGTTGGACAATATTTGAGGAAATAACGGGAGGATTATTTATTTATTATTTTCGCCCCCGCGGGGGGTATTTGCTATTTAGACAGTAGAAACAATTGGAACCTGTTATCCAGCAAAGACAGGTATAGATGGCGACAGGAACAGGAATGTGAAAATTAGCAATTGGCAAGAGCATATATCACACAGTGAAATAAACTAGATCAATGACATTGCATTGAACCTCGAGATGCAATTCAATAATCTAATAGAACAACATATTATTCAACACAGAACAACCCCACTCTAAATCATACAGAGTCTAAGGGGCCTCAAACCTTGAAATTACGTGAAAGTTCAAATGAATAAAGGGGTGCAAGATCCTACTCAACTGAGGGAATAATCTCCACCTAGTCAACAAAAAGAAACCCAGAAGAAGAGGAAGAATATCATAAATCACAAAGTCCTCTAAAGGAAAAAAAGTCATTGTGACATAATAGTAGCTCCCCTCCATGCCTTCAAGCCAATATTTTACCTATGTTTTGCAGATCAGTACATCCACATGAAATGGAACCATATTCTGAGGATAGAATTAATCTGTGATGCACTCATATCACCCTACCTTTTCATGTTTCCCTGCTTCGTCCACTCCAGGTCGGTTCTCTCACATCACATGAGTGTCACAGGGGCTGAGCAGAATTAATTGTTTGCAATGTATTCCATATAATCATAATGTAAACTGGGACAAGGTATATTGAGGTTTATTATCAAAGTGAAGAATATCTTGTCCTCTTCAACCACACCTGATTGGATTCCTAAATTCAAACAGGATGAAGAAAGGATTCTATATCATTTGGTAAATAGATTACCACCACAAGAGTTGTGGTCAAGGATCAAACTTTTGATTCAGTTTGGACGAAATGACGAAAAAGTTTTGGTTTCGGTGGAATCCGAAATGAAATAGTGATTGGAAATCATAATTCCCATATTTGGCAATATTTCCGGAACAAAATTCTAAATTTTTCTATTTCTGAAACATTTCCGTTCCGACCAGAACCGTTTACCGAGACGAATTTTCAATCATGATTGTTGCCAATTTCAAGATTGCATGATCATGGTAGCTGCTCATTACCTAAAAAGAGGGGCATTCTAGTAACAAAAGCTGCAACTTGCCAGAAAACTTAATATATATAAATAACAATGAAGCATACCTTGAGCCGCAATTCTGCACTTATAACTTCCAGATCCCTCACAGGATCTACAGAGTCATCAACATGGATAATATCTGGATCTTCAAATGCACCTATAGTACATGTTAAATGTATATGAATAGATTTCCTGTTGAAAATTACGAAATAGACTAGCGAGGAACCCAAGAAAGAAAAAAAAAAAGCAGACACTGATAAATTTGCAACAGCACCCCAAAAAAAATAACAAAGTTTAACCCCCACGAATGGGGTCTGGGAGGTGGGTACATGCCTAATCTTTGACAACCAACACAACAAAAAATTGTCCAGTAAAAAACTTGCATACCGAAAATTTAAGGCCAGCCCATGAGTGCAATTTATGTAGCCTCTACTTAACTTGTTCATACTCTTCAAGTGAGAATGCACTTCTGAAACTCTCCACACAACTTACTGACGATCTTTTTTTGGTTTTTGATAGGAAACAAAACTCTTGTATTACCAGAAAAATATAAAAATTGAAAAGTACATCAAGAATGGTTGGTTAAGGAAATCAACCAAAAATGTAGAAAATAACAAAGCAAAAACCAAGAAGTAGAACACATAACAGGCCTACAAATCAATGATGGTCTCCATCCCTATAAAATAGCAAAAATCAAAATTCCTTTGAAGTCTTTAGTAGCCTAAGTCCAGAATAATGCTAGAAAATAGGCATGATCACATAAGCCTTCCAAACACTCATATCTATCTTCAAAAATTCATGCATCCCTTTCTTTCCATATGAACAACCTTTTTTTCTGATAAGAAACAAGAGTCACTGACAATCTAATGAAGGTTGGAACCACAAAAGCTTCTTATCAAATTAGGACCAATAATCAACCTAGCCACGGTAAAGAAATCAACTACATCAAAGCTAACTTATGGTTGTAAAGAATTGTCAAAATCCCTTTTTGGGTGCATTTATACTTTATAAATACTCTACTTTGACATAGAACAAGACGAATGCTCATACGAGCATATGAACAATTACATAACATAACCACAAAGGTGGACCATAATTTACGTCTGTAGGAATAGGAAATGAAGATTAAATTATGATTCCTGAAATAATCCATGAAGTAACATACTAAAAAACTTAATCAAATATATGATAATGAAACTGAAACAGAAAAAGAAAATAAAGAAGAAAAGTGGGAAAAATCATCTTACGTAAAACATGGAAAATGCCATCAACTGCACGGATGTGAGATAAGAAATTATTCCCCAATCCTTGTCCTTGATGAGCCCCTCGAACCAGTCCAGCTATATCATGAATTTCTAAGAAAGCCGAAACCTGTCCATCATAAAACATAGAAATTGAAAAAAATGACGAAATTTAAAGCAAGCTCAGAATGGTACTTAATAACTTATAGCAGCAGTTTATTGCAAGTAAAAACTAAGAGGACAGTGATGGTATTACTTAAAGCTTTACCGGGAATTCCCAACATTAAACACAATCTTTGTAGTGAACAGCTATGAATCCCTACAGTCATGAAGAACATGCAAAGCACAATATCCACAGTTGAAAAAAAAATTGAATTTCAGAAACATACCTCGCTCTTTGGCTTGTACAATTGACAAAGCCATTCAAATCGTTCATCGGGGATATAAATTCGAGCTTCATTGGGCTCAATAGTACAAAAGGGGAAGTTCTCCGCTGGTATAGATAACTTTGTGAGTGTGTTAAAAAGAGTAGATTTGCCAACATTTGGCAATCCAACCTGAAAATCAATATAAATAACAAGATCAGAATTTACATCTGGAGTGACAGAAATAGACTCCATGATTGGTAAAGAAACCCAACAGACCTCAAACACTAAAAAACCAATAGCAGAATTGGTAACACAATCTTCAAATTGAGTCAGCAATAAATAAATGAAAAATAGTTGAAAATACAAAGTGACATGTCCAATAAAAAGCTTCAGTGTTTTTATCATTTTTTGCATAAAAAGTATAATACACCTCGCCAGTTCCAAATAGCTAAATTGAAGCCAAATTGAGGTTTAATTAGTAAATTTATATAAGATTTCAAGAAATAAAAGACAAGGATTTAATTCCACCATGATTTTAATCATACCCATAGTATAATGCATATTCCCTCGCCTAAAAAGGTTGCAGATGGAATCGCTAATATTGTCAAACTAACTTCTTCGAAAAAAAAAGAGATTGGTTGACTTAATTGTTTTGTAATCATTCAGCTTTAATATATTCTTGCAATTAGTTGCAAAATAGCTGGTAGTCTTCTCCGTGACACTAAACCCAAGTTTAAAGACCAATGCTGCAATCCATATGCATGTTACCATTTATCCCCCCTGTTATACTTTTCGAATCATGTTAATTTATCTGTCCATATTTACAACTAGCGTTATCAATTGAATCACATTCAGAAAAGATTATAAAATTCAGCGACTCAATTAGAAAAAGATTAAAGACTAGGGATCACACTGACAATATCCCTCAAACTTTAACAACCAATGATTATTTTACATAAAAACTAACTGAAATGGAATATTATCAGGTATCATTTCATTTCCCACACTTCCCCGGTAACCAAACAAAAAGTGACCAAATTCAGCAAGACACTCAAGTACATATACAAATGCGTGCGTGTGAGTACATATACATCTAAGATGCGTTCCTTAGAGAGAAAGAGAGAGAGAAATCATTTCCCACAATTTCACCGTAACCAAACAGAAATGCTAGAAATGAGCTCGCACTACCATAGATAATTTCATTTTCCAGAAAAAGATTAATTTTAGATATCATTCCATTTCACTTTCCAACAATTTCCAGGAAACAAACAGAACACAATCGAAGTTAAACCACATACAAACTAAACAAACGGCTATGTATGTACATATATGTGCATATGTAGAGAAAGGAGAGGTCAGGAGCTCACAATTCCAATCTTTAGGTGAGAAGAGAAGCGGCCGAGGATGGGCCTCTCGGCTGGTGCCGCGTCCTTTGATTTCGCTGCCTTCGGAGGCATTATGATCCGAGGAGAGAGAAAGAGGATTCGTTGGAAATCCTAGGGTTTTGATCTGTGCTTTAGTACCGAGTCCAATTTCAGTGAAGGTGAGTCAGTCATGGAACACACCCAAAAACCCTTTTATAACCCAAATGTTTGTCTCAGCCTAAAAGGGAGAATCTCACTTTATACCTTAAAAATTTAAATATTTTTATTTTATACTCTCAAAAAATATAATTTTTATATTATACCACAAATGTATTAAAAGTATTATAATATGACATTTATGTCAGTTTTCATTACTTATTTTGTTAAAATTCTCCGCATTAATAAAAAATATACACATGACATTTGATGTATTGAAAACTTTAGGTGGCCTTTGGTAGCCACATATTTTTTTTTTTTCATTTATGGTTAAAAAAAAAACAAAAATACGTTTGGTAAATGTTTTTGCTTTATTTTTTTAACATCTCCGTTTTAAAAATAAGGCTAAAATATGAAAACATTCAAAAGGATATTTTTGAAAACATAAAAAAAAAAACACATGTGCGCGATTTTTAATGAGGTATTGACTTCGATCCTACTTAGTAACAAAAAAAATAGATTTTTTTGATACGGTATAAAAGATCATCTCTCTTTCTGATTTCACCCCTCTGTGTTTGTCATATCTATGTCTCTCTCTCGATGCCAATGCCGAAGCCATTGCTATCGCTAATTGCTGCGAAGCCATTACTTTATTTTCAAGGTCACTTCATCTTCATTTCACTCTATTTTTTTAGGTCTGTGGTCTCAATCTCTCTCTCTCTATGATGGTGGGTTTCTTGGGTTGAGTGGTGAGTTTATGTCAATTTTCGTTACTTATTCCATCAAAAATCACCACATTAATGTTGAAGCAAGGAGTATGAAACCTAACAAAATGAGTCATATTATAACATTTTTATGATATTTAGGATATAATACAATAAATCTAATCCCTAAGAGTATAAAATATGAATACATAAATTTTTAGGTTACAAAATATAACTATTCTGTCTTAAAACGTCACTCACCCATATTTAGGATATAATACAATAAATCTAATCCCTAAGGGTGTGTTTGGGAAAGGGGATAACCCCTAGTTGGATTGGGTTACATTGACCGGGGGCCACAAATCCCTGATTTGGATTCATTTTTTTGAATGGGATAGTCGTTGGGCTGAAATCCTCGGCCCGTAGTCATTTCTACCATTTATCCCATCTGACCCACTTTGTTGTATCCCACCATAACTTTGGGATTAGCTAGCCCAGCTACCGGATTGGGCTTGAAAATACTAAAATACCCTTGCACAGTTGCAAAAGTAGGGTTTTTACTTCTCCCCTTTTTTGTCTTCGTCTTCTCATTGGTCCTGTGTTACCGCAAGCGGCACCCATTGGTCCCCATTAGAAGGTATATTTCTCTCTCTCTCTCTCTGTATATATATATCTTAATCTTGCCTTGTCGTTGTTTTCCTCTCTTGCCTTGTCGTTGTCTTCCTCTCTACATCTGTGTGTGTATATATATATATATATATATATATTTCCCTGTGTCTTCTCTTTTCTCCCTCCCAAACTGCAAATAAATGGAAAATAAAATCTAATTTACACTAAATCTACACAAAATCAATACCAGAGCCTCCTGCAACTTTATTTTTTCTGGGTCTTGCAAGGGTGCTGTAAGAATGTGTAATCCCAAAGGCATGATGTATCAACTTGCTTTGTTGGTCAAAATAAAGAAGAATCAAAATCTTGGAGGAGGCACCATGCCTACTGATCCGCAAAAACGCATGAAATTTCGCTAAACAGGTGTTCATAGGTTCTCGATAGATACTTTGCTGGTGGCCTTTGGATATTTCAATCAAGAACATATGTTGGACTGTCATGTGTTTGAAATTTCAGGAGCCACCTCAATTTTTCATTATGTGGGTCAATCTTTTGAAATTTGAACCTTTGTCATGCTATACCCAGTTCATGAGGAGCTTCAAAATGCATTACCCAGTTCAATCTTTTGAAATTTGAACCTTTGCCATGCAATACCCAGTTCATGAGGAGCTTCAAAATGCATTACCCAGTTCAATCTTTTGAAATTTTAACATTTGCCATGCAATACCCAGTTCATGAGGAGCTTCAAAATGCAGCACCAAAAATTTTACATACATTGCTAAACTCCAGCATATAATGGACGAAAAAAAAATCTACAGTCCGCACTCTTCCTTCTGACAATTAGGATTTCTTTGTTTTGTTAAGTGTTTGAGACTTGTTGGTTGGTGAAATATTGTTGTCTTTGTACTTGAATTTAGATTGTTTTGCTATATGTTCTTCAAATGTAGTTATGGAATGTTGAATAAGATTAAAAGAAGAAATCAATTTTATTGATTTATTCCTACGCTTAGTTCTCGAATTCTTGTTTAATGGCTTTGTTATGCTGGTTTCTTAATAAAATTGCTATGATTTGTGTTTTTTATCCCTGAGTTGATTGAAATAATGATGAACATATTTCTATATGGCCATAGAAAATATAAAACTCTATCTTTTGTTCAAGGAGTCAATTTATATTGTCAATTCAATGATTATGAATTACTAGATCAATAATTTATGTTCAAATAATATTACTCTTTATAATTTTTATTAATTATGAAATTAATAAATATAAATCATGTCAGATGATGGGTTTCCATTGAACGATAATAGGAGTTATGATGTTAAAAAAATAATTTTTTTATAACATAATCCAATTTTTAGTATGAAATATATGAACAAAATTGTTCTCAGTATAAGTAATGCTATTTCAACTTAACAATTTGATGTAATGATGTGTCCCAATTAAAAAAATTCAACAATTACAGCTATGGTAAATATCCTCGGCCATGTTACTGTTACATATTAACAAATTAAGTCATATTGTTTTTCCCTAATAACATTATAGTCCCCAATTATATATCCTAGCACTTGTGGACAATAAAATTTCAAATAAATGTCCATGGTACTAAATAATCAATGATCGAGATTGCTATAACTAAAATTGACACGATCATTCCGACTATAAATATTTTTATCACCAAGAAGATGATGTATTCGGTGGGAGAAGGTTTTTAAAATATTTCAATCTATTGTTTGAAAGAAATGAAAGTTACAATAAAATTTGTTTAGTTGTCTAAATTATATTTAATTATATTAAATCGGTTTGAACAGTTAAAAAATATGTATGACAGCTTAATATCTATCATATTCTAACTTGAAATATTAGAGTTGTTCAAGACTTCAAGTGTATGAAAGCTGCCAGAGTTTTTAGGTAGGAAGCTAAAGTACTAGTTTTACTTACTTTACATAATTGTCCATATTTGAGTGTGAATTCTTGATACTTCATAGATAGCAAAAGGTTGTAGCTTGGATTTCAGTATTGTTACTTTGTTTATTAATCTTGAAACCAAATAATTACAATTGGGATAGTTGTATGTACCCAATAACAGAGAGAGACATAGATAGAGAGACACATTAACTCCTCATGAGGATTATTTGTATTTGTTTAATAAGTTTTCTTGTTTTTTTATTATTTCTAATACAGTTGTTACGTTATTAACAGTGTCTCAAATCAAGGGTTTCACAAGCACTCTTTAGGTACCTAACTTAGAATAATTTTTTTATTTAGTTTTTTGTTATTGTGACAGTATACAGTTAAAACTGTTGTGTCAAATTGTATATTAACGTTTTGACATGCTTTTCTTTACTAGTTATATGTTCACTGAGGTTAGTTGTACATTTGTTGTAATTAGAATATTATATTCTTGTGATTTATTTTGTTGGCCAAACAATATATGTTGAAATATGTTTTTTTTTTAACATATCCATGCCAGGTGATAACAATGTTATTGAATTTATTTTTTTTTCATTGAATTAGGTAACCATGGACAACGAGTACGATGAATTATATTTGTTACTTAAGTTTATGCATAGGACTATTCGGGAGATGATAGTGGTGTTTAATCTTGTGGTGTCTATAATGTTGATGATATGGGACATGGAACACAATGGTACAATATCTGAGGTTCCACGACCTTTCAATAGGTCTCGGTTACAGATTGAACACTTGCACCGTCTCATTGGCGAGAGTGACAGGACGTGTATAAGCCAACTTAGGATGGATAGACACACGTTTATAGTACTATGTAATCTGGTCCGTGATGTTGGGCTGCTAAGACCAACTAGGCACGTAAGTGTCGAGGAGATGATGGCTATGTTAAGTATTTTAGGGCATGACGATAAAAATAGACCAGTTAAGTTCAATTTCTTGCGCTCTGGTGAGACAGTTAGTAGACATTTCAACAATGTTCTTACTGCGGTGTTAAGGCTACGCAGGCTATTGCTTCAGACGCCTAAACCAGTGCCCGAAAACTGTACAAACCCTAAATGGAAGTGGTTTAAGGTAATCACCATTTAACATTCAAGTCAATATTGATTTTTACACCATATAACATGGATTTTTTTATTTCATACATCTTTATAAACTTGTTTACTCACTTGCCTTTGTAGAATTGTGTGGGGGCATTAGATGACACATATGTTCCTACCCGAGTACCGCTTGTCCATCAAGCTAGATATAGAACACGTAAAGGTGGTATAACAACCAATGTGTTGGGTGTATGTGCACCGAACATGAAGTTCATATACGTGCTTGCTGGATGGGAAGGGTCAGCTGCCGATTCTAGGATATTGTGTGATGCGGTTAGTAGGACAAATGGGTTGAAGGTAGCACGTGGTATGTAGCATATATATATATATATTTTATAAGTATACTCACATTTACATGTGTTTGGTACGTGTAACAAATATATTCTTATAAAACACAGGCACGTATTACCTAGTTGATGCGGGTTATACAAATGGTGACGAATTTTTAGCACCATTTCGGAGTCAGCGATATCATATAGAAGAGTTTGGGGCTGCCTCGGCAGCACCAATAAATTCCGAAGAATTGTTTAATTTGCGTCATTCTACTGCAAGGACTAG